AAATATCTTGTAGTCACCAAAAATACGATTAGGAAGTGAGATGGATAACATCATATGAGTTCAGCAAAAGGTATTGAGGACATCTTTCAACAATTAACATTTTTAAATTTTCAAAAAAATTAAATTTTTTACCCGTGAAATTTCGTCAGTATATGTCCCGTATACAGTGACGTATACGGCCGACGTATACCAGACGTATGCATCATGCACGAATCATAATTGTATGTGATTTGTATGTGAATCGGACGAACTTTGTACGTAGTGAAGCAAATGCCGCCCGTATGTGTGCCCTATATATTTCGAAAAGAAAATTTGGGAAAATTTTGACCTTTGACCCAGTCATTCTTGTTTCGATTTTCGGTTTAACCCTCCCTCATGTTTTATTTACCTAGTTCCTACTTACTTGACTGATGAAAGTGGACTGCTACCGCTGGGAGTTGAACCTCGGACCTTCGGCTTCGGAACCCGTGACTCTACCATTGAGCTACGGTGACACGCTAGGAACGAGAGCGTCGTAGCCCGGTGTCATGTACAGCGCGGTTCCCCTTCCCGTCCGTACGTTGTCCGTATGTGTCCCACATACGGTGCGTATCGAGCTGACGTGTTGTCCAGTCAATTGCCCGAGAGCCCAAGCAAGGAGCTTACCTATATTTTCCTTAAGTTAATCATTAATTCTAGTTTCCCTACAACTACTCCCTCGACAGTGCTCGTTAGGGTGTTTCAAAAAAATTGATATAATGTATGCTTGAATAGACTTTATTAGAAAGTTCAGGCCTCGATCTAAATCTGTGCCAAATTTGAGACCTGTCCGATGAGGGGAACCATCCGCGCTCAAATTTGGCACAGATTCAGATCGAGTCATGAACTTGCGAATAAAGTCCACTCAAGCATATGTCAATTTTTTTGAAACACCCTAGTGCTCGTGGATACCAAGTTTGGGCCTTAGTCTTATAACGGAGTCTTAACATTAGGTAGGTGGTCCTTAAACCCATTACCATATCTACACCCAAGTAGAAAAACACAAATGAGCCCTTCTATTATGCGCCTGCGTACTCAAGATCACTCGATGTGCTCTTAATCCAATTTTTGGTCAACCAAAGAAAACTGTATCAACCCTAGGGCAGTGTTCTACAACAGAGGTGCAGAGTTTCTTACATGTGTGAATTGTTCGGATCCCCTTCACTATTGACGAACACAATGTCAAAAGGGTTTTACAGTTATTTTGGAAGGATTGCATTCAGAGCAGTATTCAATCGCCGGTTAATTATATCAAGTTAGGATTATATTGGTAAGAGTAGGAATCAAATATAAGTGATAGCATGATGCTTTATGGAGTCCGTATGCAACTTGTATGTGCTGTACGGACTGCGTTTGGATTTTGTTGGGGAGCCTTATGTGTTCCGTATGTGTCATTGGATCCTACCGTACGGGGACTGTACGGTTTGTATACGAACATATGAAACCCGTATGCAACGTACGGCGATTCATGTAAGGCGGACATACGGCGGCCGTATGCACACGTAAGGTTCACATAGGAATTGTATACGGCACCCGTATGCACACGTACGAATTGTACATTAGTGGTGTCCAGTGGTCGGTCGCTCGGCGTCGATGGGTGCCCATCGGGCGAGCGAGAGGGACGGAGCTAGTGGCCGGCTAGCGCGTGCGAGAGAGACGGCAGACGGGTGGAGTGGGGGGTTGACCGACCATTGGACATCACTATTGTACATGTATCGTACACGGGACCTATACAAACGAAATTTCACGGGTATATGGAATTTTGAATTCTTTTATTTAAAATATTGAGGAGCTATCGCTACCTTGGCGTAGCCACGCCCTGCCAACGTCCAAAGGGCACCGAAACGCCGCCGACCCAGCTACATCGCCTCGCCCCCGACTCAGATGGATGTCGTGGATAGACAGCTGCAGTCAGCGAATTATGGCGATTGTAGTAACGGCATTGGTTAGAACGTTTGTAATAGTTGTACATTTTTGAATCCGTGAAAGGTGTAAAAGTTGAGTGCCTTTAGTAATACATTAAAACTGGCAAAGGCACGTATTTCTGGCACCCGTACGGCTATTTTGAGCCTTAAAACCCAATTTCTTTAACACCCCTGAAAAATTGTTCTTTTTTCAGAGTAATCCGGTGAAAATATTTGAAATATATGTACCATGTTTCACATGCTCATATGGCCCAGCTATTTCTACAGGGCAGTGTTGGCGGGCTTGCTCCACGTGAAACACAATTTTCCATATCCAAGCACAATGTTCAGCAGAATATTAAGCCTTATTTTACCCAGTGAACTTTACCCATAGTGATGGACGGATGTGCTGTCCGTCTCTGGGTGGCGGAACACAGTAGCTGTACCGCCTAAATTGGTCATGGCAGTTAATGGTTCGAATGTGCTGACTATTGAATATTGTAATACCAACAAATTTTTTGTTACATAATCTCTTCCTTTTTACACCATCTTACGATCGAGCCAACTCAGCTGGTTGTCCCGAGGGGGCCACCACTCTCTCTTTGGATGTACACATGATTGCAAAGATTGCGTGATTTCAGATGATTTAACGGATTTCGCATATTATTTTAGAAGATCTCACGCTAAAACCTGCCGGCAGATTATGTCTGATTTGAAGGATTACAGATGATTTCAGCGCATTTTACCGGATTTCGGCGGATTTCATAAGATTCCGGCGGATTTTACGTGATTCCGGAGGTTTTTACATGACCTTCTAAGGATTTCAGACTAAAATTTGCTGGCAGATTACGCATGATTTCATGATTGCAGGTGGACTTCAAATCATTGCGGGAGGATTTCAGGGAGGGCGTACACATGATTTCAGGAGTGGCGGCCCCCTCGGGTTGTCCCTACAACTCACAGCAGGTCCGCCGCAATTTGTTGGACAAGAGGCAGCGGAAGGCTGCTGAAGCTGCTGAGGCTGCTAGGCCAGCTGCAGCAGCGAATGGTCTTGGTGCCGGTGCAGGGGTAGGGTCTGGAATAGAAGTAGGGGTAGGTGAAGGAGTAGGGGTCAATGTAGGAGTAGAGGTAGGTGCTGGGGTAGGCGAAGGTTTCAGGAGCAGGGGTTGGTGGTGGAGTATAGTGATGTCCAATGGTCGGTCAACCCCCCACTCCACCCGTCTGCCGTCTCTCTCGCACGCGCTAGCCGGCCACTAGCTCCGTCCCTCTCGCTCGCCCGATGGGCACCCATCGACGCCGAGCGACCGACCACTGGACACCACTAGTGGAGTAGAGATAGGGGTAGGTGCAGCGGTAGGGGTTGAAGCAGTAGTAGGGGGAGGTGCAGGGGATGTAGTAAGAGGAGTCGAGGTGGTAGAAAATGCAGTGCTGGGGGCAGATGGCCAGGGAATGGAGAATACCTAGGTGGTGGCGGGTGGTGGGGTATTAGCAGGTGTAGGGGATGGGGTTCGGTTTAGTGGGGGGGGGGTCGAGGTACAGGTGTATAGGGAGATGCAAGAGATGGGCAGCAGGGAGGGGCTAGGAATTATGTAGGTGCAAAAAATTCGGAGGGGATAGATCAGGAAGGGGAATATAGAAATATCTATGATGATTTAGGACAAGCTGAAACACCCTTACAGCCTGGCTCCATGGTTGAAACCGGATGTATCCTTCTCTCCTTCACAGAACTGCTATCTGAATAGCGATAAAAATATCAATAGGGTAAGGTGCCCTATAATGGCCACTACACGAGCACGCCCTCCCCCTTTTCTCCGTCCCGGCCGTGCCAAAAAATACATGGGTGCAGTAGAGGATTCAAAGAACATGCTAATGTTAGAAAAAACGGGAAAATAAAATTTATTCGTGAAAAAAAAAATGTAAGAAAGAATCAGTTGATTTTGCCCATTGATGGCCACACTCATCCCATTGATGGCCACCTTCAAAATTAGTGGGATTGGCGTTTTGGAGTCGTGGCAGGCGAGCTGTGTCACGTAATGGCTTAGACAGCAGTTACTTTTTCATCCTCTGCATTCTGGTGAGCCTTTGGTGCCACACGTGCACACTAGCACGCTGAATTGAATATCGGTGCCCCTTCATCGTTTCATTATCCTGGGATCGCTATCGTCGATTCCATTAGGTCCTCAACGATGGACCCAGGATGACCCTGGTGGTGTGAAGCGACACCAGCATTGAAAGTAGTGTGCTGGTCCACACGGCGACGCGGGTGTGTCTCAAAACCGAAAGCCACGCATCGTTTCTCTCTCTGTTCCCGGCATATTCGTTCATTGCAAAAATAGCGAGTCAACCGCACTAGCAGGGACTTGCTGTCTTATCAAGTCCTGGCTAAATTTCTCAACCATTCCCGCCCTGTTAAATTACAGTAATACAGCCAAGTTGATTAGGTGGCCACAGTAGGCCAGCCGGTGTTTTCTATGGCCCAATCATGGCCATCCCCTTTCCCCCTTCTAAATTTGTCAGAATGACAAAATTATATTCGTAGAATAGAAGCCGAACTTTTCCAGGTTCAGCAGATATCCTTACCATCAAGCTCTGGTTCATACGTGCTAAACGCGAAAGCACCCGAGGGAACGCTGTGCTAAGACATCACTTAAGAAAACACCCAGCCGAGCGGAAGACAGTGCAGCGTTTGCTGTTATGCCCTTGTACTCTCGTCTGGACCGCGGCCGAATCTCGACCTGAGCAGGATCGTGATGCCAATAGGTAACATATTGTTGGCCATGAGGCACGCAACTGAGGAGTCACTTGGTTAGCTGATATAGAGGCCGAAAGACGAGGGTGGCCATCAATGGTACAGTGGCCATCAAAGGGCACCTTACCCTATATTGACTTTGCATTTGGACAAGAACTGTATTGTTACCGTCCTCGTCCTGACACCAGACCAACAACGTTCTAAACAGTATTTGACTCCCATTACTTTAACTTTTTATTTGAAATATCTAACCGCGATCTGTTGACCTCGAAATGTGCTGTTGGTGGGAACATGCAGCCTGCTTTATGACAATGGTGTAGTCCTGCGCACATAGTATGCTTCTCTCCACTCTTTCGGAAACAACGCGTCAAAATGCCGAGTTTACTACGTTCCTCGACCTTAAATATTCTGATAGTTTTTACAGCAGTAATTTATTCCAGCGCTACTCCCGTCGCAGTACGTATACCCTGTAACTCTGGATGTGATACTTTCCACACGTTTTGGGGTGATGAAAGGCCCTGTGTGACTCACATGATGTATTTCCCGCGGAGGCCGGGGGAGCGACATGGGAGTCAGAAGAATTCTGAGTGATACTGATTGGAAAATGGTGCAGTCATTCCCGATTTTTTTTTTTTTTTGCAAAGCGGTCTGATGCGCTGCAAAAAACTATGATACCCCAAATTATTGCACAGGTAACGGATCATCATCGCACATACAAGCAATGAATTTAGTATTGTATATTCTCTGCGAAGATCCATGTCCGCGTCCATGTCCCAAAATTGAGTAAGATTTTAGTGGATCCAGTTAAATAGTATACGAGATCCACTTTCCCTCTGTGGATCCTATTTAAGATAGATGTAAGCCAGACCAGGCAAGGGGTAGATAACTCCTGAATTGGTGTACAGTTTTTAAGAATTTAATTTAAATTGGCTTGAATTGGCTTGAATTAAGTTTGAACTATCTATTTTGTTTTTGAATTGATTTGAATTATTGCGATTTTATTTTACTGAATTGCCGTGAATTGACTTGAGTTTGCTTGAATTGACTTCAATTGAAAGTAAATTGTCTTGAATTAGACTGAATTAGTTGAATTATTTCCGAATTGCGTTGAATTATTTCCGAATTGCGTTGAATTACATTGAAATGGTTTGAATTAGTTTGAATTGGGCAAAAAGGGGTGTACACTTGGCAGGGGAGTTATCCACCCCTCGGTGAAGGATAAGTTACAAGACTACTAACTCAAACGTCCCGAGTTAAACTCCACTCAAGGTTGGAAAAAGAAGTTTTTGAATCCACGCGATTTCCACGTCAAAATGTCGTGAAAAACGAAGTCTAATCCACGAGGATATCAGGTGGATAATCGACGTTGAATCCACGTATCAAATTGGAATCCACGTTCCTTCCACTAAAATTCCTCTTCGGGTTGCTAGTCTCGCGGAGCTGCAAATCTCGCGCAGTTGCCATCTTCTCGATAAGATATTACGGGTATTCCCCAACCCTGTACCGGGTACAGGAAATTTTTCCATGGCGTATTGTACATTTACAAAGTTAACTGGTAAACTGGCAAGTATTATGCTTCAACTTGAAATCAATTGAAGAGCAAGAGAGCGATGTAGAATGTGTCCAGTATATTGTCTCACTAGTACACTACAAAATACTCTGTACTAATACATTTTGTATAGTGAATGTTTCCCTTTAATGCTACAACGTTACCCATGCATATTCAGGGCCCGTTTCGAGTGATACCTGATCACTTTGAAAAGTGTCCAGTAGAACTGCGCCCCAAGACTGAAACCATCAAATTGTTTTACCATGGAGTACGTGACCGTAAGGATCCTGACCTGTGGTTCTACAATTTTAATGGAACGACGCATTTCACCTTAGACGATAATATAATGGTAAGTGGCGTACAGTAAAGTGCCCCAAACATCAGACAAATTGCAGTTGTAAATTCAACCTTTCTCGGCCATCCTTTGAAATATTGAAAATCGCAAAACAGCATTGTAAAGCTGACAAGCTAGTGTACCCCATCGCATTTAGACCACAATAATAGAGCGACGGACCCCTTTTTCGGGTCGGATTTTTGTATTCCCGTCCTCAAGGTTTTGAAAAGTCACTAGGGAAGGGACTAAAAGGTTAAAAGGTTTAACAAAACGCAATTTGTTTTGTGTCCGTAACTGCACTCGTTTCGGGGATGGGTACATGACAGAAAACTGTTTTCACAATCGGCTCGCAGATTTTAAAGAAAGTTATTTTGTAAATCCTCTGCGCAGCGGCACACTTTCGGATAATTATGGGCAGAAGAAGTCAACTGTTGTTCATAAAGGCTTGTCGCGCATAGTTGTCTTTCTCTTAATCTAGCCTTAATTTTATTCAAATGTCTACGCAAGCCTCCTGTGATCGTCTGCTCCTAGTTGAGTTACTGTGCTGAACTATCTGTTGAGTTATATTGGCGCGAAAAAGGTGGGTTGGGACGGACGGGGAGGGGACGGGGAGGGGACGGGGAGGGGACGGGGAGGGGCCGACGGTGGTAGAATAATGCCTCGAATCGAACCATCCCGATTTCACCTGTTGCAAGCCTCGCGCAGCTGCGTCCCACGCGTAGTTGCAGGCCTCGCGCAGTTGCAAAAGCGACAGAACTGGAATCGTGCAACTGCAGATCTCGCGCAGCTGAAAACCTCGCGCAGTTGCATACGATCTAAATCGACCTCTAGTTGTTCCAGACCGGGTGACCGGGCGCAGTTGCTGACCTCGTGCAGTTGCACACGTTGCGCAGTTACAAACCTCGCGCAGTTTCAAGTGTCACTAAGTACCTCGCGCAGTTGGAAACCACACGCAGTTTTGAAAACGATACAATTCGACCTCGCGCAGTTGCAGTCCGCGCGCAGAGGCAAATCTCGCACAATTGCTAGCCTCACGAAGCTGCAAACCTCGTGCAGTCACCGACCTCGCGGAGTTGAAAACCGGTGTCTCTGTGAAAGTTAGAGATATGGGATGAACTGGTTTCCAATCTTGAGCAGGTGGGAAATATTGTTCCAGTGCAGCTCCAATGCCATACATGCTTAAATCTGCTATCACCCGGGTTTGTAGATTTGGGTTAGACCATGTTAGTACAGGTGGTTTGATAACCAGCTATTTTGTTGCCGAGAAGGTTCTGGCGTGCTCTGGAAATTCGGGTGTGAGACAGTCTAACACCAAATGGTGTTAGGCAAAATACCTCACACCAAGCGGTGTGAGGCAACCATACCTCACACCAAATGGTGTGAGACTAGTTGTGCCTCACACCAAATGGTGTGAGACTAGTTGTGCCTCACACCAAATGGTGTGAGACTAGTTGTGCCTCACACCAAATGGTGTGAGACCCTCTGTGTCTCACACCATTTGGTATGAGAAAGTATCACTCCATTTGCTGTGAGGCACAACGAGTCTCACACCATTTGGTGTAAGGTATGTCTGCCTCACACCGTTTGGTGTGAGGTATTTTGCCTAACACCATTTGGTGTTAGACTGTCTCACACCCGAGTTTCCAGAGTGCTCTTCTTTCCAATTTAAATCCGATTCATTTTTCAGGAGTTCTCTGAGAGACTGGTCCACTTCTATCAGGTTGGGTAGAAATTTCATTAGGTGATTTACAGAACCTATGAAACTTCGGAGTGCTGTGATGTCTTTTGGCGGTATAATTTTGAGATGGCTTCAGTTTTGGAGATAAGTTGCGATATTCCTGCTGCACTGATGTGGTGTCAAAACATTGTGCAGGCTTTCACACTGATTTTGCATTCATGAAGTTGAGTGATATTGTTGTTTTGACTCTTTAGCCTCTCATAATGCTCTGTTTGGTCTTTTCCTCCTATCAAGCAGTCGTCTATCAAGTTGACCACTCCTGGCATTCCTACGATGATGTCTTGCATCCGCCTTTGGAACACTTTGCTACATGTTTTTAATCCCATCCCCTTTCATATCTGAAGCTGCCCATATGGCTTAAGATGTAGTGAAATCTTTGCTTTCTTCTTTGATCTCTATTTGATGGTAGCCTTGGTTGGCATCCTGCTTGGAGAAAATATTATATCCTGCTGGCATAGGAAAGCACTCTTCCACAGTGGTCAACTGGAATTATTCTCTGATTATTACCTGATTTTGTGCTGTGTAGTCCACTTAATTTCATGAGAGCAGTTGAGAAAAATTTAAGAAAATCATTTAAGTATTCTCAACCTGCACCCCTCATAATCCGTTATATTATTACTACTGGTGTGAGAAATGCTCCAACTCCGTAAATTTAGAGGTGGTAAACTATGTTATTTGCTTTTATTTGCATGACTATTTTTTTACTGTGTTTGTTGTTTTTTTCAGTCCATTTTTGTTACAGTTCACTGTTATTCAAGGAATGTGACGTCACATTCGTTTTAATGTGAAACATGTCACATTCGTTTGAATATTGTGTCACATCAATTTAAACGTGACTTCAGGTGAGATGATGCTCTAATGGCGCCCAGGCTTGGCCGATTCACGTTTAAACGAATATGACACAACATTCAACGTGACACGATTAACATTGAAACGAATGTGACGTCACATTCGTTGAAAAACAGTGTTGTGTTCATCTGAAATAGCACGGAGGGTAACAGAACTTAAAAATGTGTCAACATTAAATAACACATTGAAGTTCGACTGAGAAGATGCATTCCATGATATTTCTACCATTCCAAATGAAATGGGACTACCAATATATGACAAGCCTACTCAATTGGGATGAGGGGTGAAAGGATTGGGTCTTCTCGCTAAAGACTTTCGTGGCGTACACACTCTTTCCAATACATGCACCATTAAAAAAATGTTGTAAATCTACAAGACATTTGATGTTTGATGATAGTAACAAATGTTTGTAAAAAACAAAGCATGTTGTAATTGAACAACATTTACAAAACATTTTGAACCAAATTTTCATTTCAAAATAGTAGTTATTTACTTCCGCCTGTGCCAAAAATTTGTAAAAACACAAACTAGTTCGTTTCTGTACCGATATATCTTATTGCTTATAAAATTTACAACGGTTTAGTTCATCCAGGAAGAGGAAGGGGGGGGGGGCAGCTGCAAAACCACAAGTTTTCAGGAAAACCCAAAAAAACGTTTTACGCTACAGTCAAAAAAGTTATGAACGTTTCTTTTTCATTCGTATTCTTTGAAGACTGCTTGATAAAATGGCGAGGGTATAATATTTGATATCAACTCTATCTAGATTTTCAAAATGTATCTTTCGTAAAAATTTGCGTGAAAAGGGAGATAAGTCGAGTTACTCCTAAAAAATTAATGGAGTTTGGAGGCAGGTCCTTCAATTTCTTACAAAAGGAGCTGTCTTATCTATTAGTATCATTAAATGCTATGTCATTCATAAGGGGTCAATTCGATTTGACTCCTTATTCAAGCAAAACCTAGAGGTTAAAAAGGGATAAGTCTACATGACACATTTTTCATTCAGTCATATCTCAGGAACTATGGCACGTAGGCAAACAGTTTTTTTCGGAGAGTGTGCCACTTTTACTCTATCTAATCTATAGATTAACGGCCACTAAAAATGTCAGTTTGGTGTTATGTCCCTTCTTCCGCTTCCTGGATCAGTTGTAGTGTTACAACATGGTAAAAAGTAGTAATCATTGTTATGGACCACAAAATAGAAAGAATTTTGTCACATGCCAATGAAAACGATTGATGATGTTTGTTCACAAACTAAATATTACAAAGAGTGTAAAAATTGCACAACTTTTTGAGACTGCACATTTCTGTCACAGGCGATAGGCAACATCGCGTCGTGGAGCACTAGGGGTGGCTGGAAAGATAATGCATATGTCATGAAACTTCCGAGAATTTGTTCGACGTTTAAGCGATGTGCCCCAGACCTCTGGGAACGATTCATGGTCGTGACATTCAACGATCCGAAAGCCTTCTGCCCATTTCCCCCGGTGAGGACACATCAGGTAGCGACTAAGTCAGTAAAGCTGTCCCAGGAAAAAGTCAAGTTGAAGCTATCGTACCGCGCCGGGTCATACTCGATTCGGAAACTAAAGTAAGGGAGGGTTGGACAGTGTGTAACACTGCACGTGCAGAACCAAATGTGAATTCTGAATGACTAAGGTCGTTTGCAATCGACACGAAAACGACCCCAAACCATTTTAATGTTGTTTCTCAGATATTTGACAGTCTCTGGTGGGGGAACTCGCCAAAATAAAATCCTGGGGGTAAAATTTGTGTCTTTTGGAGCCAAAGGCCTATCTAAAGATATACGACTCTGCCTTCTGTCCGACTCGGGTGTCAGCGCCGCAGGCCTAGGTAGATGTATGCCAGGCGCGTCGCAGCATAACAGTGTTTCGTGAGATATCGCGAAGCCTGTTACGCGAGAGGTGGTCTGGCGTACATCTACCTAGTTTATAATTTCTAGTGCAGTTAGTATTAATTTAAGCAGGATAATGTAAGCGAGCCGATTGTGCACTGTTCCTTAAGCTACCGAATAAGCTTTTACTCGATGACATAAGATATTCCAATCACAACTTCTAACGGTTTAAAATCAAAGCTTGATTAGAAATGGGCGTGGTTACGATAATACTGGGTAGAAAGGAGGTGTGGCTTCAAACAATGGTACCAACCTTTGCAAACCAACTCGCTCAATGTTTTTAGATCAATTGAGTGATGAACTCTCCTCACTTTTAAGTTCAACCCACCTCTAATAACTCTTTTTTAGCGTTTTCAAGAGCACTTCAGAGGTGGTTAAATGACATTTGTTTGGATAATTGTAACTATGAGTAAGAGTTGGCATTGCCGGGGAATGCACACGGAGCAGTTTCTATAAGGCGCTTGCCTTGTTGTTGGTTTTGTTATTGTGGTGACTTCAGACCGAAGAGCCACAACACTATAACCATTAAGTTTTGAGACTTTTCTTCTAATTTTCAACACTCAATCTACTGGAGTGAATAATTGAAGATTATTTCTTCGTGTGCATACGACTGTTCCTTAAAACTTCAGGGGCCGATTAACGCGTTAGCGTTGGAATTTTTTCCCTCTCTATCTGTCAATGGAGTTCAATCCTAGCATTTGTTACACGCTGCCCCGGCGCGGGGCTGTGTGTAAGAAATGCAGACCTTTGTTCAACAAGCTGTAGGTCATACGGGAATGCAGTAGTACACCTAATAATACATCCGAGCAACTTTCATTGGCTGAGCGATTAGCGAAGCCTATTACTCCGTCTGGTCGAAAAACTTTTTCTGTCTGTCTGTCTGTCCGCACGATAACTCGAGCACGAATAGGGTATTCCAGGCTATCCAAAACGGAAGTAGGAAAAGAACAAACTCACTGACTTTTCTG